TACTCTGTCAATGTTACAGGGATTACTCTGTCAATGTCATAGAGGTACTCAGATAGTGTTATAGGAATTAATTTGTTCTTTTACATACGGCAATATAGTATGACCAGCACAAAACTCGATGTACTAATTATACATAGCGTATTTTACGAGAGAGTAAAATTTGGGGTTTTAAAAAGCCAATCCAAGTGGAAACATGAATCGGATATTCGGATAGGACTAAAGATAACTAGCTTAGTCCGGTATATGATCCAAATCTATCGTTCAACTAATTTTTACCAAATAGAAAAATGGATTGGGTCAATTAGGTCCGGTCAATTCCAAATAAAATTCGTTTGTGCTAATTTCGAGTTCATATCATATTAGCTCGAGTCAGGTCGTTTTCGTCTCTATTGCTAATATTCTTGTAATAATAAATAATAATCACTATTAGAATCCTTCACTATTAGGCCAGATTGGTTTAGCTAGGTCGAGTCAATTCAATGCAATCAAATTGGATCAAGTGATTTTGGTTCAAGTTTGAGTTTGGGTTAGATAATCATGTATAGATGAATTTTATAGCATATATACAAATATATAAAATGATTAAATTTTCGAACAAAATGTTATTAGGATATAATTATGATGATCTATTTCATAGTAGAAATCAAACTAGGATTTGACCAGTTAGTTTTTAAAATTTTTTCCTACATATTTATAATTTTTTAATTTAAGGTTTGATCTTGATTCAATTCAAGCTTAATCAATCCAATCTCTAGTAGTCTAGTTCTTAAATGATAAAATTTCCTATTTTTAGTTCATTCTTGTTTGGATGTTTAATAGCCATGGATAAAGTAATGAGTCCACAAAACCACAGTATTTTTGGAGAAAATAATTACTCTATTCATTTCACAATATCTGTGACATTGGACTGTTTTTTACTATTTATATCTTAGTTTTGATCGTAGTTTTTTTACTAACATAATAAAAAAAATATTTTATCATAAAATATGTTGTTAGATAGGTATTAATATAAAGTTTCATAACATAATTTTTAAAATAATTTTTATTAAGATTTAATTATATAAAAATAAAGTCAAACTAGTGTATTGACATGTGTGCAATGTTGACTGTGTCAGATAATCTGAGATAGAGGGAGTAGAATTTACGGACACGCTAAGAAGAAAATTGATGCATATATATTAGTAGGGAAATTGGGATTATTAAAACAGTACAATTACTTCGTATTATTTTACGAACGTTAATTATAGTGCTTTTACCTTTCAACCATAAGATTGAGGGTTTAATTCTCATTATCAACCTAATGATTCTTAAATATTACAGTACAAAGTATGAGTATGCGATTGTTTCCTTCAAATGCTCCATTAAATAAAATTAACAAAAGCCATTTTTTCTTGACTAGACTAGAAATATACTTTATGTAGTTGGATGTATATATTGGGGCTGTAAATTTGTTCAATGGAGCAATCATAACAGATTAGGACACAGCTGTTTTAGTTGCAGAACGATCAACATACCCTGTCATCTAGTGGTTGGGTCCCACTCTCACGTAAATTTCATGCTATTGTATTATTATCAACATAAATAATCATAGTAATTAATAACATTTTCTCATGTTTAAGTTTTCATGATAATATGCTGCTGTTATAAATTTTTTTGTAGGTACTTAGATATTTATTTGAACTGAGGTGTACATTTATTTTATTTATTGTCATAATACTTGTACCAGTATATATTATGGTTGGCAAACTGGCAATTCTGGTTCACTTTCTTTAAAATGCATCAGAATTTATTCAGGAATGTGTATTTAGTGGGTCAACTCACCAATGATTTAACCCGGATCTAATTATACGAGTAGTTAGCGAAAAGAGTTACAGATTTGAGAATAACTTACATAGTTACATGTGATATTATGTCATAAGTTTGTGACTAACTGATTATACATGCAGCATGCTCTAGAATGCTCTAGAATGGAAGGTATCAAGGTAGGAACTAGGAATGCGAGATAGCATTAATATACAGCTGCGTACATACTTCGTATGCTGCTTTCATTGACTTATATTGACATATTCGAAAAAATACGGAGTAAAAATTAAATTTATCAAGTCCGTGTAGGATGGGTCAGATAAATTTAGATAAGACAAAAATAAACTTATTTATTATCCTTTTATAGTAGGGAAAAAAACAGATAGCTAAGTATATTTCTGTAATATACTTTGCTAAGATTGACTTACATATGGGAAGAAGTGTGGTAATGATCAAAACTTCGTACGTATCATAATGGAATTTTTGTAGTACTCATAAAATTATACTTCTTTGTATTATACATATAAATTCTAGTGGATAATTGGATATTGATACTATGTGACTTGAGAGTGCAAAAAGATATAAAAAGTATGATACAGTAGTACTTTTAATATTACGAGTAAGAGTTAATACTTGGTACACTGATTTAGCAGGGAATTGGCTTGCAAATATTTTCTCCGTCCTACTAAAATTGTCCTATTTAATCTAAAAAATCTCATAGAAAATAAACCGAGTAATCAAATTTAGTCCTACAACATGAAACCTAATACGCAGTACTCCAGATTCTGAGTTGGATGTAGTAGGTTTGAAAATTTGCATAAAGTGCTTGACTCTACAGGTACTGCTATGTTGCAAGTCTTTCTCATTGTGGAATTTAGACCTAGAAAATATAGGGGCAACATGGTCCAAACAACGACCATTTCTTGGGAGTGAACAAAATTCTCCTGCATATTCAAAAATTAGTGTCGAACGTGTCTTACATCATATGACGATAAACTAAATCAACTTAGTATATGTATAGTCATAAGACACATAACAGCTCAATTTGTTGAAGTTCTCATTAATTTGGTGCTTGATTGAGCATTGAACTAAAAGTTAGGAATCGTTATTGTTTAGTAATTGTCACACACTCAAAAGGAGTAGTTGGACCAAATTAGAGGAGGTAATACAAATACTATGAAAAATTCCTTTTCCTAACTAAAGTGCTTAATGCACTTTCATTGGATAAACGCAGAATTAGAATAATAATGCAAGTGATAGTGAAATATGTATTATGGTCAACAAAATACGTTTTAAATGAATGTTAAATAAGATTTGACAACTATAAGCCTAATAACCTCATTTTACAACCGACCAAATCTTATTACACAGCTTTCATTATCATTCATGATTGGTGGTATATGCTTAAGTGTGATTCTCAAACAACATTATTTCATATTGGGCTGGACCGTTATCTTCCTGGGCCTAGGAATTGGACTATTTGAATCTAATAGCCCAAACTCTACTTGCATTGGGCCGAATTGGAAAATCCATCTATCGAATTTCACTCACTCAGGCAAAAATTCTGTGGGAAGTCATGTATTCCTAAAATCTATCTTGACAAGTTCCCTAATACTAGACTTAGTAGAGCTGGGTATGGTGCTCGCTAGCACCACACCACTTGGTAGCTAGTTTTCTTTCCCCTTCGTCACACCGGTGTGTAGGCACGTCGATGTGTGTGACTGATTTCGGCTAATCAATGAATAGGGAATCGAATAGATTATGTATTGAAAAATCTGCTCAATACAAAACACTTTGTTTTTATAATTTTTTTTTTTGCTGAACTAGTTCTTCAATGCAAAACATTGGTATTACTTGAGCAGATTTTACATGGTAGACCAGACATAGGCCTTAAAAAAAGAGTTGGGCATAACTGCTAACAATGTATAAACTGATATATCTCTATATACATATACTGATCTATTCAGAAGAAAATAAATAAATAAATAAATAACATAAACTGATTGCACCATCATTTATTTCTTTATTTAATTTTTAAAATATCTTTTACAAATTCAAGTTCATCCTTTGGTTAGTACTAGACCAAGTCAAATGAAAAATAAACCAATCAAAACCCCAATAATAAAAATCATTGCATACAAAAGCACTCCATTATCTTTGGGATTCAATGATGGATCTTTGACACCATCAAACGCTTCAGTGACATGAGAAGCCATATCGCGATGTGTGGCCTGCAGAGCTGCCAAGGCAAAAGCGCGATCAATCTTGGAAGCTGTGCCCGTTGCAATTGGAGTTGGAGGAGGTGTCCTTGGTGGTGTTACTGGAAGCGAGAGGAAAGGTTCAGGTACAGGTGCAAGATCTTCTGAGGTGAGTATTGGATAGGATGCATAGTCAGAAGGGTAAGAAAATGATGATGTTGAGTTGATATGATCGTTCTCGCTATGATTAGTACCTAGTTTGATTGATTTCAGCTGAACATTGATGCTCATTTTCTTGAATTAGCTGATAAGACAAGGTTCTGCTCTGAAGAACAGAAGATAGAAGAAGCAAAGATGGGTTTTATGCTGATAAATAGCAAGTAGGAGAAATTGAAATAGTCTCGAAAATTTGTAATAAAAAAATATGTATCCATCTCTTTCACAGGAATGGATCAGATTCAACGAAACAGAACAGTAATTTAATAAGAAGTAGAGGTAACTTACAGATGTTTTTCCTGGCTTTTTTGATGAACCAATAGCCGAGACTTGGTTTTCTTCAAATATATAATTCCTGAAAATGGCTACTTTAGTTATTTATCATAACTTACAAGAAGCTGTTCTAGACGTGAAGATTATGCCTCACAAAGTCACAAACACCGTGCATGACGAGAAGTGTATAGGCTAGGCAATCAACACAGGAAAAATCAGTGAGGCATCAGTTCCAACCTCCTACCAGTGGAGACGCCCGAGCTGGGTTTGATGCTCACCACAGCACATGACAGCATTTACCTACTCCCTGCCAGCCCTCTAACCCCTCCCCCCTTCCTCCACAGGTGTTAGGCGTTCCCAGCCTACGTTTTTAAGCCATGCCAGGAGGAAGTCTATCATAACCACTTACGCCACAGTGTTGAAGTTTTAAATGAACATGAGACATCTAATTGGTTGGAAGAGATATGGAACATCATATACAATGCTCAAACTTACAAGAATCATGAAAAGTAAAACAAAACACGATTAATTTTATTACATATTGCATGAATCACCAATAAATACAACCAATGAGTACTATAAACAATCGCTACATCCATCTTTGAAAAACAAGATAATCAAGGTTCTAACAATCAATAGAGCAATAACATCATATCGATTGTACAAACATAACAAACCCCGTAACATGAAGTGTACAAACATATCAAACCCCATAACATAACAAACCCCACCAGCAGTACATTATGTACAAATTTCCTGTCTTAGAAAATAACAAATTTTGCAAAAGCGTTTATCTACAATAAATTATCTTCTCTGAACAATCATTTGTTTGGCATCAACTATGAGTTTTGTCCCTGCAACACTTCTTGCAGATACTTCACAGCATTGTCATAGTAAACAAACCCCATGAACCAAAACTCGTGGTTGTCAACTGAGATTATCTGAATGTATTTCTCAGCCGAGTTTATTTTGCTAGTTGAAGGGTTAACTGCTTTCAACTGATCCAATGGAATAACCACCTAATACAAATAGTATAAAAATTACTGATAAGCAAACATAAAACCAAAACTCCATGACGTAAATGCAAGCTGGGGTGAGCCATGACACTGGCAGAAATGAAGCCAGGCATAAAAGGGGGGAAACCCCACATCCAGATTTTCAGCAGCAGATAGCCAGTAATCCGTAAAATAGACACTGACGACATAATATTATAAGATAGACAAATGCAACAATTCCATTGAAGATTTCCTAACAAAATGAATTGGTTGATGATAGCTACAAACATTTTTCATTCAATCTTGCATTATCATACAACAGCATAAGACATATCACTGCAAAAATTCCTCAAAAATTGGACTAATCCTGCTTCAAGATATCCCTAATGTCCATACCATAGGACACATCATGGCAAAAATTCCACATAAAGTGGACTAATCCTGTTTCAAGCTATCCATAATGTTCATACAATGCACAGCGCTTGCAAATACCTATGATCAACTCCAGCCTAGGATGGGGAGGGGTAGCCTTGCCCGTAATAAAATTGCTAAAAAGTGGCTGTATCAGCAGTGCGTTGCAATTACAAAAAAGGTTTTCTCCAATATACCTTGACAGGAAAGGCAAAATGACTGGCATATTACTTCACACTAAATCATGCTATTAATATTTTTTTAGCTCACAAATCACAATTTGGGCAGCTAGAGTATACTCACTATTCAAACAATCATACATGGAAGCACGAAAATTGTAAATTCAACATCAGCATAAAGTTCTCAAAAACACTTGAGGCAAAATTAAATTTCTGAACTCAGACAATTCACTGGAAAGGCCAACGCTTTATCTAAGAGCACCTATCATAATCTCAGGATGGGGTGATCAACGAGGGTATATGATGCAGATAACATTCAAAAATTAGAGAGAAGGACACTAACCTTGTAGTAGCTCCATTCAGTTTTGTCACCGTTTGTGTATGAAAGAGGATTGTCACTGCAGAATGCAAGCTTTACAGTTGACAGATATAGAGTTCCCACGACTGGACCAGCAGATGTTGAGAGGTAGCAAGCAAACCACTTCTTAAGTTGCTCCTCTGGAAGAGTCTCAAAAGTTTGCTTGAAGACCTTTTCATAACCACCTTCAGCAATAACTTTTGTTTGTTGAGTAATTCTTGCAACAGCAGCATCAGCAACACTAGGGTTTGTTTTCACTGATTCAAGGAAACGGTAGCATAGTAAGTAATACTTTCCCAAAAGGATCATAAAGACAAAATCTTGAACATAAACTGCAGCAGTTCCTTTAAAATGTAATCTCACATTACACATCAAAAGTACTTGGTTATATGTATACATGATACAGATGTATGACCAAGTTGGCCATTTTCTAATTTTTAATGTTATTTTGGATAAAGCTGTGATGTCCAAGTGTCCACACACCATACTACAATGCCAGGTATAGAATGAGAGCACTTTTGGGAAAATGATGAGCCAACGAACACAGATTAAACCCATATACACAAGGGTGAAACATCATAAATTTAGTCAAACTGGAAAGGAAGTGAAAGCATAGACATTTACAATTCTGCAAAGCCTCGTAACACCCTCAAATGATAGATTCCTCTCAGAGATACACAAAAGAGGGTTCAATCGCAGAGGTCAGCTACTAATTACAAGCATAATTTTAGAGGCCAGTTGGTAATTTATAGCATCTTTTTCAATTCATTTATTCCTGTTAATTCAAAGATAACCAGGCCTGAGAAGTGACCCCATATTGTATACTGACTAATCTCCAAAGAAAACATAAAAGTTTTTCAAAACCCTGCTACAAATCTACAATACACTGCTAATAATTAATTTTAGGCTTGTTAGCTTCTGAAACCAGCTAAGCATTCTTCTTCCCTGATACTGTTTTTGCAGTTAATCCCTAACATTCAAGTAGGCAATATGGAATGACATCATGTTCCTAGCTAAAAAGAACATAAAGCACGATTGAACAATATCCTACGATATTCCAACAAAAATAAAGGATATGCTTGGCTTTTTTTTTTTAAAGATTTGAATAATAAAGCGATAAGAACAATAAGAAAGTGTCCGGCTTCCAGATTGCCCTTATCATCAAAATTCAAACCCCAACTGCAATGTGTAGCTGGAGTTGTTAACTATACTGTTTATTTTAGATGGAATGAACACCTTAAATAGAATGCATCAATTTAATTGTTGCAAAAACATCTGAATGCATGCAAAATTCGAAATGTACTTCCTCCATGTAAAACTATTGTCATATAGATAATGTAATCTGAATTACCTAATAATAATGATCATTACATTTCAGAATTCCAACCAAAACAATAAAGATCATAACTTTATACCAAATGACACGATTTCGACATCGAGTAATCACAAATGCAGAGCAATCAAAACAACAAAATCAATCAAATAGAGAAAAAAAAAAAAAAAAAAAACAGAGATAGAAAGAATTACAATGCTGCCACATATTGCCAGCAAGATCCTGCGCCTTAGTAGAAGCATCAGCAGCCTTCTTCCCCCATTTCCCCAGCACATCCTTCACCGTATCCACCGCTTCTACACACCAAAACCAATTAACCCAAATCAAATCAAACACCAAATCACACAAAATCAAAACCCTAATTCAAAATCAAAATTTAAAAAGTTGATACTTTTGGAAGATGATGTGGGAGCAGGAGCGGCAGACACATAAGGGTTGGATTCATTCGGCATGGTGGTGGCAGAGGAAGGAGCAGGAGGAGAGAGAAGGGGGTCAGGCGGTGGAACGACGTCGTTTGGGTCAAGCTTAGGGTATGGTGCGTATTCTGATGAGTGGGTTTCATCGGATGATGGTTTGGGGGTTGGGTCTGGATTAGGGTTAGGGTTAGGGGTTGAAGTGGCAGTCAAGTTATCGGGTTTGGGGGGTTTGGATTCATTGACGGTGGGGGTGGGAGGTTCATGATCCATGGTTGTAGGATTTGTGATTGGAGAGAGATGAGGGTAAGGAATTGAAGTCAAACCATAAGGATTCATTGGTTGGTTTTACCGTTACAACTGTTTTTTTTTTTTTTTTTTGGGTTTGAGTGATGAGTCATCCTTTTTTTTTTAAAAAAAACAAGATTAGTCATCCTTTTTTTTTTATAAAAATGGAGTATGGAACGTTAATATACTAGAAAATACAATGTATGAGAGAATCTATTTAGTTGACGAAATATGTTATTTACTCCCCTCGTTTCATATTAATCGCAACACTAGGTATTGCATAAAGTTTTAGGAACGTTATAGGGTAAGGATGATAGGGTTAATTTTATAATAGTGTAAAGTATAGTTAGTGGAGATATATTTAATACTGTAGTTTGTAAGAGAGAAATAATAAAAAATAAAAATAAAAATAAAAATAAAAAAAAGTTAGTATAAGTGGGGTCTGTAGGAGAGAGAAATTATAAAATAGTAGTGGATCTTTGCCAAATTAGGAAGTGTTGCAACTATTATCAAACGGATGTAAATAGAAAGTATTACGATTATTACGAAACGGAGGGAGTAATAAGGTAAAATTGACATAGTCATGAATTATTTGGGGTATCGTTGTAAATCGGCAGATTGAGTTACAAATTGAAGTAACGACGTCGTTACTTCTTCCTCCATCCTCCATTATTAGAGCTTCCTCCTTCTCCATCCTCCATTGAAGCTTCCTCCTCCTTAGTATTCCTTATCGACTTCATCTTCGAAAAATCAAGCTCAATGGCAGCTAGAGAATAGGGTTGACTATGACTTTCATGGATCTCTAACTGTCTAATTTTAAAATTAGCGGAACCTATCTATCGGTTGGTCCATTACGACAATAAGTCATCTCATTTCTATACCCCTAATTGGCCGACACTAAGTCATCTAATTCCTATACCCCTGCAATTGGTTATCTCTTGCATCAACTCGACATTGGTCTCTATAACTATAATTATTATAAGAGCACATCTTCTATACTTGTTATATGTTTTTCCAATCGCTCAAACTCTCTCTACTTTCAATTCTTATTCGTCACACTAACTTTAAGACTTAGAAATAGTCTATGAGAAATACCTTCAGTTAATTTGTGACTCAAAATCTAATATGGCTGACTTTAAATGCAAATATTTCTCAATCTATAAGTGATCTTGAGGTGATTCAAGTTGGAGGTAATAGCTTGTTTTAAGAGCTTTCCAACATAAGTCATATGCCCAATCTTGATAAGAAACGAGAAAGTTATGGCTGTTTTACGAAAACCTAGCAAAGCTGAAACGTTGTTGACGAAGTGCTCGACTTGGCACGTCCAAGCATGGTCGAGTAGGACGTTTTTTTAGTCCAGTTTAAGTTTACGTGTTTTATGGAATGTTTCCTAAAATTATATATTTCTTCTATGACGACAATTTGGGGAATATTTTAGAGTTTATTAGGATTTCCTTATATTATAAAAGGATCCTTTAGGTGATGATCAATTAGATCACACCCTTTTAAGCCATTAAGATTTAGGTCTCCTTGTATTATTCTCTCGTTCTTGCTCCATTATAGTGAAGAAGCTTTTGGATCCGCCACTTGTGGACGTTAGTCTAATTTGACCGAACCACGTAAATCCTTGTGTTCTTTATTTGTTTATCTTTTTTATTGTTTTTCTCGTTCCTATTTTTCATTGACTTATTCCGCATTAATCAAACACAATTACACCCATATTTCCTAACATCTTCTAAAACAGCTCACTCTATTATTACGTAGGTGAACTATACAAGACATTATTATTGTACCTCAGCTTACTTATTGGCTTAAGTCAGTTTGTTCTTCATATATTAATTAAAGTTGTCGCAAGCAAAACTCTCACTACATCCCTCCATAATCCCAATCAACGAACCAAAACAATGAGGATATGAATTGAATTGAAGTTGCTTAAGGACTTGAGCTTTGTTTCATGTTTAAGTGCTCTCTTTTTTTATAAAAAAATTCTTTTTAATTTTTCGGGAAATTCTACATGGTGGCTTCAAGGATTCAGTTTTTCTACGTGGAAGACGAGCTTTTTTCCAACTCTCTTAAGTGGCACCAAGGTTTTGAAAAATTAACCATAGTGCCCTTTTTTAGGTTTATGGCTAACTTTTATGATTAAAATGGTTAACCTTTGAAAAAAAAAAAAAAAAATCACAATTCAGCCACCTTCCCCCACCGCCAAACCCTAACCTCACCCATAAACACGTCGACAAGCGGCCGGTCACTCCCCTTAACCACCGAAACCGGCCGACCACCCAATCTAACCTACCCCCGACCCCCGAAACCACCCAGCCAGCCACACACCGCACCTGTACACCGTCACCAACATCATCCCCTTAACCCTCGCCACCAATTCCAACCTAGTCCACTGGCTACCTTCTCCCCACAATTGCAACGGCACCCACCAACTAAACAAGCCCCGTAATTCTCTTCAATGCCAGCCTCAACAATCAACAACAACCCGCAAGAACAGAGTAAACCGCGATCGCCGGCGGTGAGAGGGAAGGTTAAGGGGTTTGCCGACGATCGCAATTGCTGATATTGGCCGGAATTCCTTGGTTGTTGCGGCGTCAGGCGGCGAGCAGGGGTTACAGTTGGTGAGCAACGAATTGGTGTTCAATTGCTGCTGAAATTTGGGTTGTTGGTGGCGGAATTGGAGGTTGTTGCGGTTGGTGATGTTGAGGGGTTGCTTGGGTAGGTGCGGTGAGTGAGGGGTTGCGTGTGGGTGTGGTGAGTTCGCAGCTTATGGTTGCGGTGAGTGAGGGGTTGCGGTGGTGGAGAGAAGTTGCGTGGGTGGCTAAGGTTGTGTTGTTGGCCGGGGAAGGGAAAGGGATTGGTTGGGTTGGGTTGGTCGGCCGACCGGCGCAAGAGGGTAGGAGAGGTCTGGGCGGCGGCGTTTGGGCTGTGGGGTTAGGGTTCCGGCGTAGGTGGTGGTGGCAGTAGGGTTTGGCAGGTGGTTTTTTTTTTAATTTACTTAATTTTTTAATTAATTATGGTTAACTAAAAAAGTTAGTCATAAACCTAAAAAAGGGCACTGTGGTTAAATTTTCAAAACCTTGGTGCCACTTAAGAGAGTTGGAAAAAAGTTTGTCTTCCACGTAGAAAAACCGAATCCTTGAAGTCACCAAGTAGAATTTTCCTTATTTTTTAAAGGTTTATAGGTCTTGTTAAAATATCATTATTATCCTGGCCTATTTTCCCACTCATTATTTACTCACGATTTTATGAAAAGTCATGACTCATGAATGCATAAATGTTGATTATATTTTAAGGGCTTGGTGTGGAATTTGTACTAAATGACACAAACTTGGAGCTTTATGTTGGCCGGCTGATTTATTTTTATTTTTTGTGAAGTTGACACATATTGTTGATGAAAAATAAAATCTACTGAATTACAATATTCAAGTTGCTTTTAGCTAGTTCACTGAAATTAACATTCATACAAATACACACAAATGAATTGTACTAGTATGCAATGTCGTCACAACAAAAAAATTAATAGGTCATACAAGTTGATATGTATGATACAATGAAAGAGTTTTGTAAGTGATACAAGTTACACACAATAATGAGCAACTTTATGAATTTTGTATCACTTTTAACATCATATGTTCATATCTAGTCTTGCATACATATATAGTTTGGGAATTAAATAGATTTTAAACGGATATTATGAAATAATTAGAGATATTATGAATTAAGTAGTACAGAGCACATCAACAATTATATATAAAACTCACAATATTACATTATTGTAAGTAAAATAATGAAATAAAAATAATTTGATCATGACATTCATGCAAGATGGAGCCCAAATTTTTTACTCATTTGTTGGCACGTTGCCATTACCTAAAAAAAAAATAGTGCTATGTTGAAGCTTTTTTGTAGCTAAACCTCTCCAAGTCGTTGGCACAACTCACCTAATTCTAGTTTTTGTTTTGTGGGAAAATAACAAAGATTGGGAATAGCCTTTTCTTCTCCTCCACAACAAAGGATAAGATATAAGTTCCATCATCTGACATTTATACCAAATTACGGGAACGATAATTTGGAAAATTGAATTGGCCTCTATTATATTGCCTTTGATGTCTAATAGCATTTCTGTGATTTAAAATTAAAGGAAAAGTAGCTCCACTGTAATTGTCTCAAAGTGGCTACTTGCATTGTGCTTAACTCTTATCTATGAGGTACCTAAAAACACATGGCTAATTTTCCTACGTACATAAAGGAAGACCCTACTCCAAGATTATGTATGATTTCTTTGTCCAAAATTAAATCAACAATAAGTTTGGAAAGTTCAAGCCGATCGAAAAGTGTTGAAAGAAGTGATACTACTTCTACATTGGTTGAGTTTTTGGTAATTATTATTCGAACTAAAACTAAAGCAAGAAAGGTGTGTGCCAAGTTATCTAATTTTGAAGTAGTAGTTAATGATTTTTTTACTTTTTTTAATATTTTTTAAAGGCGAGGTATATATACATGAATCAGAAATAATATCTAGTTTATATGTTGTAATAAACAATTTGTGTCAAATCTAATATATATATATAAATAAAGTAGGCATTTTTAGAGAGCAGTCGGAGCGCCACGTAAGAAATATACTTATTTCAACCAATAATAAGAAAGATTTGTATTTTATTTTTGAATTAAAAAATTATGTCGCCACCTAGATAAAAGTAACGAATTAGATTTGATATAACTAAAATTTTAATGCCACGTAGATTATAATCCACGAATTAAATTTTTTTAATGAAAAAAAATAAAGTAAAAATATAGGAAAAGATAAATTTATTAATTCAATACTACGAGTATAAGAAATCCAAAAAAATATACTAAAAAATATTTAAATGATAAACGCTTATAATAAAGTTTGATACCTGTCATTATAAGATAAATTTTGATAGTATTTATGATAAGAAATACAAATTGTTCGTTAATTATAATTAAATTAAAATTTGTGATACCTACCATTATAAATTGACACATCATATGACACAAATAAAATTTCGTATCAATAAAAAACCTCGATTGTGTGTTAATTTTTTGTCATCAGTGGCCGGGTAATTTTTAGCTTAATTTTTAAAATCCTAT